AAATATATGTTTATAAAATGTATGCTAAAACGATGTGTGGATACTAAACTAAGGAATACTTGTTATAAAATAAATAATATGGATAAAACAGAGAAGTAATGTAATGTAATTGCTATTTAACTACTAAACAGGATCCGCAGAGCCAGAGCTCTGCGCACGTGAACGCCCCCTCTTAATTTAATAATCTTCCCCTCCGCAAGTCTGCATCTATTTTGACCTGGTATCCCCAATATGGAGGAGCAAGAAGTTAAACTAAAGGCAGGAGAACTGAAAAGACAAACACGCACCGGTAAGAGTGAGGTGTGGAAAAGCTTCAAATTGATTGTTGAAAATGCTACAGAAACTTGCGTTGGCTTCGCTGAATGTCGTCAATGTGGCGCTTTGCTTTCATACGAGAGCAAAAAGACTGGCACCTCGACGCTGAGCACTGCTCCTCCTCCCGAGTCCTCACAAATAAAATATGACATTTCGGGTTTGCATCGGGCTCGGGCCTGCAAATCAAGTTAATTGGTCGGGCTCGGGCCGGGTCGGGTTTTAATATCCGCGGGCCGGGTCGGGTCGGGCTGGATTTTTTAGGCCCGATCTCACCTCTACTCAAAGGTCAAAGGTCTCAGTGCAGTTTAACAGGAGGAGTGGTCAGGGGTGGTCAGCAGATCTGTATCAGGGCAGTTTGAGGAGACGAAGAGCCAAAAGTGTCCTTCCTCTGTGTCCTGCAGCATCACAGCAGAGTCCAGGAGGAACCAGGTGAACACAACAGGAAACCCTCTTCTACGGCTGCGTTTATATGATGATGGTCTGAACAGAAGATGCAAAAGTGGCGTCGCATCTTCACTTTTTATTTCATGTTTAGACGAGCATTTTTGGGAGGAAATATGATGATGACGCAAAAGTGTGTGAAATTCGATTGGGTATGCATGCCAGGCAGCTGGGCGGAGACGGTAGATGGTGATGTATGTGACGTAAACGCATGCTCGACGTGAGCAGATCTGACCAGAGTTTTGCGTCTTGGGCAGTGTAGACAGAGACGCTACAGTGGAACATATTCAACTTTTCCACTCTGGTGGGCGGTTTCAGATTTTTGTGTTTTTAAGCCCCAAAAACGCAGTCAACATCTAAATGAAAGGTACTTCCGATAAACTATTTTGTCGTTTTTACCTGCAAGTGTTCTCGTGTAAACAAACCCTAAGTTTCATTCTGACTTTGCTCTGTTGTTCAGTTGGTGATTAAATGGTCTATTCCTTCAAAGTATTTTGTCTGGAAGGTCTCCGAGTATTTATTTGCTGCCACATTTTGTGTAAAAAGCCTGCAGCATCTCATATCATCATATCATATCTAGCTCCTTATTTACATTCTTAGCAAGCCTCTTGCACTGTCAAACCACAAAAACAAATTAAAATCACACTGTTTCTTTCTTGGGTCCTTTGACCTGTACTTGCTGCACTTCTTAGATGGTTAAATTCCCATCATTTGATGTTAAAAACTGACAAAATTTTCAAAAACTGTGAGCCATGGACACACAAAAGCAGCCAACCACTGTTGTTGTGGGAGTGAAGGCTACAACAAAAATACAGCTGTCAGTGTTTTTTCTGGCTCAGTACGGGCACACATTTTTTAGTGCAATAACCACAACCAAAAAAAAAAAAAAAAAACGCTAAGAGGTTGAAAAGTATATAGTCTGACTGTATGAGACTTTAAGGATTTTTACACTCTCAAGACAAATTATAGGTCTTTTTTTATGGCTATACTGTTCAATAGGCCTGCACATAGGCCTATACAATAAAAACACAACCTTCAAAGACAGATGATCTGATTGAAACCATTTTAAAAACAAAAAAATTTACACTCAAAACATACATTTTTATTTTATTTTTGTATCACACAAAAATTCAAATAGATTAATATACCATTTTTGTACAACATAATAAATGGTTGATTATTCTAAAAAAAACAACAATGAGAATGGAAAAAATAAGATCCTTTAATAAATTAGACATTTGCAAAGTATAAATACAGTACAAGCTATAAGGTGGATTCACTATTGATCTAACGGTAAAAGCTGAGATGTTCTGCGGATCTTAAAGTTTGAAGAAATATAGTAAAAGCATTTAGCAAATGTCGACATCGTGTACACTCAGTCACACTCAATCACTCTAATACAATACAAAACTCGCTCGAATACAAAAACATATTATATCCACAAAGCCGTGCATGTTGACAAAAGTGCTTAACATTGTGTGGTTTCGCTTTCACACAGTCATTCATTACTGTCACCTGTGGATATGAGGATTTCACGTCTCGAAATGGTGCCACAAATCACACACTGATCCCAACCGCGAGTTAACCCAGAGGCAATGTCACATGAGCCAGTGACTGAGAGAGCATCGATCACTATCAGCTAAAAATAATTATGTTTGGATCAGTGATATGCAAAAACTGGAAAATCAATAGTGTAATTAAAAGCAGGAAAAACGGGGTGTAATAAGAGATTACAAACAATGCAAATGTGTAAAAAATTAGTAAAATAAGGGTTTAAAATGAAATCTCTGCACTTTTTGGTAATTTCTTTTAAACTTTTGTGCAATATTTGAACCTCAGCCAACATATTTATTGCCTGTTTGCAAATTTCTCAGATACTGTCAAAGTGTTTTTCATTTGTCTTTATAACTGTCGTAGTATTGCAATCAAGTTTCAAGCCTTTTTCTAATGTGGAATTTGCTGTTTAACTGTCAGATCGCAGATTTGACTGGATTTATGATTGATATCTCTGTAATTACCAGCCCCCATCTGCATGAAACCAAAAAACTGGCAATGTTTAACTTTGCTATCATTAATCTTGTCTTCTTTTATGATATCATTTCAAGCAGACAATTTTGTTAGATGTTTTTACTCTGACAAGAAAAGTGTGACTATGGCAACATTTAATGCGGGTAGAGATGAACTAAACTGAAATTAATTATTCTCAATTGCTTCAGAAAGCGGTGCAATTATTCAACACCCAAAAACTGTCATCAGCCGAAAGGAGTTTAAGACAAAAGATTTATATGGCCAATCGCTCAAAACAAGGCCTGTCAAGATCATTTATATATCGACAAAAGTTAGGCTCAATTTTCATCGCATGTACAATTTTTTGTCTTAAATCTCCTTGTTTCTCAGATTTATTTGTATAAATATAAAACAGCCAAAGCTTACCAAAATGCTAATCAGTTAAATACAACATACAATAGGCAAATCAACCAGAATAATAATGATAAATGTAAAAATAATAATAACAGCAAGGTGCCAAGATGTCTCTTCCTAACTCTGGGCAAATGCCAAGGAGAAAAAGTACGTTTTGAGCAAGGATTTAAAGTGCTCTAGTGATTGCGCAGTTATAATATTTCTATAGATATGTCATTGCTCTGCCTGGAATGTTCCACAGTGTGACTTTAAACAGCTCTACTTTACATTTATTCAATTACAAGTGCTTTTATAGCTCAAAAAATACCTAGAAAAACATTTAGCATTCTGACTGTGAGCGGGGTTGCTTCCCCACAGATCTGACTTGCAACTTGGTCTGGTTTTGTCTCCGTGATGATGGAAAGGTTTAATGCCATACTGTGAAACATTCCAGACAAAGCAATAACATCTCCATGGAGAAAAGCACAAGAAAAGCTATACAATGCACCTTTAAGTGGGTAGATTTTAGTTGTTTTTATGTAATAGGAAAAGATTTGAGCTGTAGAGGGTAGAATAACTAACTTCTATGGGTAATTATTGATTCATTCTGCTATTGATGTTGATTGATTACTGTAGCTCAGGCCTTTTAACGATATTGTGGTAAAGTATATTTTTAAAAAAGGTTTATTGGGATTTTCCTGCTTTATTATTATTATTGTGTAAGTGGTATATAGTAGTTTCAGAATTATCTTTTATCACAATATTTCTCTGTAGCAATATATATAGTGCTTCAAAATTTGTTATTGTGACTGGCCTATTAAAAACAAATAATAAAAACGTTAAATATTTATCTATTGTATTGTATTTCCAGCTTCTTCAGTTCTAATACCAATTCTGATACTATAGCTTTAAATATCTTCCGATACCTGATATCAACAAATATCAGTGCAGAGACTGAACACAGAATTTATTTTCCTATGAGACAAAATGGGCCCAAATGTGTGATGTAGCTGTTATTTACCTCTGAGGTTAGGGCTGGGTATCATTAAGAAATTGCTGATACGATACATACCTCGATACAGTGCATTTTTGATTCGATACAATATATTTCAAACCAATACGGTTCAATAAAAAATTAAAGGCTAAATCGTGGCTGTAATACTAAAAGTCTTTGTCAAACCACTTCTTGTCAAAAGTCAATATGAAACACAAACATTTTAATCAATAAAACTGTGAAAATGTCAAATGTGCTGCATAAAAGAGTTTCCTTCCACTAAACAAACAACAAAACTGTAGCACTGTGCCAAAATAATTTAATAAAATATACCAAAAAAATACTCTTGGTGATATATCGATACAGCAGCCAACGATATCAATACTGTATCATCACATTAAAAGATAGGATATATCGATATTTCAATATTTTTGCATGCCCTAATCTGAGGTATTTACAAGAATGCTTTGTATAAATGAAAATGCAAACTTTCCGGGCTAATTACAACCAGTGAATAGTCTTAATAAATCAGTTTAGAAGTCCAGCCAGATTTACAGCTTTTATCGGCTGACTTGGTATTTGGAAGTCGATATCCACACTAGCAAATTTTTCAATATTGATATCACTAGATTGTTCATTCAACAGCTGTAAATTTCCCAAACACTTACATAGGCCCCTGCTCTTCATCTGAAATCATGACTTCATCGAATTCTAAAACGTAAACACGACCGCTCAAAATCTCCCTCCCTCCCCTGCGTGCACCTCCAATGTTCAAATACCAAGCCTGTGAAGTACATACTGTATGTCGTAAAAGTCTCCCATATACATTACTTTACCATACTGTCCACAGGAATGCGCTCCACACCTCCACGCTGGCTCCGTGTTTGATCCAGGTTGTGTAGCATTCCAGCTGCGTGTTCAGACACTTCTCCCTGAAACCGAAAAGAAAATATCAACATGTACTCCCTATTCCCACTCGCCCCGAAGGAATCACATGTCTCTACTGGACCTAATATCAAAACAGGTACGTTGCACTTTGTATGTTACTGTATTCTTGTTGTGATTGTGCAGTGAGATGTGACTGTTTTGTTCGGATCGGGGCAGGTTGCAGAGGTGGGTACAAATGAGTTGAAACTTATGTAATTTGTTTTTTTAATGCATTAAACTTAGATATTTAACAATGCATTCCAGTGTTTGTTTTAAGCTATGAAAGATATGCCATATGGAAGCATTTAAAAGCTGCTGAGTGTTTTCTTGTGTCTTTTTCAACTTGTACTTGTGTGAGAGCTCTGGTTTGCAACACATTGGATTGTTTTATTAACTGAATCATCTTTTGCATTATTTTTTGCTTATTTCTTATGTATGTATTTGCAAAGAGTCCAAATCATTTCCCTTGTGGATCATCATATTTTGTCTAAAATTATAGCCATTATAGTAAATTTCCCTTCAATTTCATTTCAGTTTTTAAGGCAGGTTGATGTCAAACAGTTTTACAGGACTAGGAAAAGTACAGCAACAATCGTACAAAAGCAAATGTAACACGTCAGCACATTCACTATACATACAGTTCATTTCAGACATTTCAGACTGTTCTATTCATTTACTTTCTACTTTTACTTTGCATTTACTATTATTGCATTTATTTGGCAGGGACATTGCAATCAAACATAGTTACAGAACAAAGCTTGCAGTATGATCATGAGTTTAGCTGCTGTTCCTGGTTTAAATGAGCAGCTTTTATTCCATGGTTTTATTTCTAACTATTATTTATCACTTTTATGACTTTGAGCACTCAACGTTCCCTTTTTTTAGAGCACACTATAAAATGTGTTAAGATTTAACAGAGTTGGAGACTTTCAAGTCGCGACTAGGACTCGAGACAGGTTTGAGTCTCTATTTTTAGGACTTGAGACTTGACTTGATAAAATGGACTAAGACTTGGGACTTGACTTGGATTTGAAGGTCAGTGACTTGGGACATGACTCGGACTTGAGAACTGTGACTTGAGAAGACTTGTGAAGCACTTTTAAATCTGAATTTGTTCTCTTCTGACTGTAACAGTTCACTCTAAGATCTTGTCAAGACATTTTAAAAGGAAAAATTTGCTTTTCTACAACTCTAAATAAATCTATAAGTACTCAGATATAAATATACTATGACTTTTTAAGTACAATTTATCTTAAAAGTCATATAAATTGCAAAAATGTAAGCTATATTTGGTACTTTGGTTTAAAGACCTGAAATGACTTGAAGCTCAAAGCAGATGACTTGGACTTGACTTGGACTTATGGGCCAGTGACTTGAGACTCAACTTGGCCTTACTTGTATTTGACTTGGGACTTGACTCAGACTTGAGGTCAAAGACTTGAGACTTACTTGAGACTTGCAAAACCACGACTTGGTCCCACCTCTGAGATTTAATATAGGACAAATACCATATCTCCTATACATACTTCCTCATACATACATAATTACTCATTCATATATTTTTATTATTTTCAAATCAGATAGATAAATAGACTGATTCATTATTGATCCTAAAGGAAATTCAAAATAAACATGGCTGACGTACAGATTTCCATTTGTTTTGAATAGGAAAAAAAAAAAAAACACTGAACAGATTTTTGGCTCACACTCCATGTCAGTTGCTCATCTTTTTGTTGTAGTTGTGGATGTACCAGTAATGCCAGTAACATGTGGAATTTGTCGTTCGCTTTCTCGCCCCGGGCACCCTTCCCTCTCTCTCCTCTCTCTCCCTCCCTCTCTCTCTTTCACTCTCTCTTTCTCTCTCTCTCTGTGTGTGTTTCTCTCATTACTACAGACCGATCCGCTGCAGCGCTGGTGTGGAGCATAGGACCTGCTTTATATGGGACCGCGCTAGTATAGAACTGACCCCCCTTTTGCCCCCCTCTCCCCATGGCCTGTCACTGCCCCTCTTCACGATCCTATACTGTGGTCATTATACCCCTCAAGACCACCCTGTCCAGTCTGGATGCCCTGCGCTTCTACCTGTGGGTGAGTACATGTAGGATAAGCCTGCTGTATATGTATAGTGTATATATATGGGTATTGTGAACTGGAATATGATGGTTATCTAATCTTTTGTGAAGTTAAGTGCTGAGAATGTGCTACAGATGTTATCATGTGGTTTGCATTTTGAAGTCTTATCAAACTTGGCAATGTTAAAATGCGATGAAACTGAAGCGCAATTGTGAAAACACGTACAAATTTGCATACTTCTGCTTATAATTAACTTTATTTTTATTGCTTTTTATTATTTACTGTTTTAAATTATACTTTTAGAGCAATTAACCAAGTATTTTCCTTTATTAATCCATTTGTATACATCTGTTAAGTAATAACTATGTGAATCTTCAGTGAATTTAAACTTTAGAAATGTATTTTAAATGTTAATATAAAAATATCATGCTCAAATTGCCAAAGAAGACACTGTATAAGAAAATAAGAAATAAATGCATGAAATATTAGGCTATATTTCCTATTAGGAGTCTGTCACCAGTCCAAATATTAGATACAAGTTTTAAAAAGTCTTATTCACGTGGGTCTTTTCTATTCTGTTCTGGTGATCTAGTGCTCAGCAGATGAACCCTGTCTATATTTACCTCTGTCGGTTTTTCCAGTTGACTGTCACTTGTCTGTTGTTTGGTGGAAAATCTGACACATTTCCTCTTTTCAGAATAGATGGTGATGATAATAATATAATAATAATGCATTAGTCTTATGTAGTTTTTCCAGATTGTTGCCTAAATGGCCCATATGACACTGTTTTCTGATCTATGTTGTGATATTGTTTCCTCATCACAAACATACCTGGTGTTGTGTTTCGTTTCATCCACACGTTTCATCCACACTGGCATACACAGAGGCGGTGCTACCATTAGGCAACAGGAGACAGCCGCCTAGGGCCCCCAAACCTAGAGGGGCCCCCAACTAATTGCCCTCAGTGCCACTATTGGTCGAGGCCTCGGAGTAATTTGAATTTCTCTCAATATAACATTCATAATCAACAGTCATAGTCAACAATCATAATCATATGGTTGGACCAAGTCATTGTTGTGCGAGTATCAAGTAAGTCTCAAGTTTTTGACCTCAAATCCGAGTCAAGTCCCAAGTCAAATGCAGGCAAGTCCAAGTCGAGTCTCGAGTCACTGGCCCATAAGTCCAAGTCAAGTCCAAGTCATCTGCTTTGAGCTTCAAGTCATTTCAAGTCTTTAAACCAAAGTAACAAATATATACTTTAGATTTTTGCAATTTATATAATTTTTATATTAAATTGTTCTTAAAAACTTACGGTATATTTATATGAGTATTTATATAGGAGTTTTAGAAATGCAAATTTTTCCTTCCTGTCTTGACAAGAGTGCAAATAATTAAGTTCAGAACCGGTCTAAGCATCAAGTCTTCTCAAGTCACAAGGCTCAAATCCGAGTCAAGTCCCAAGTCTTAGTCCATTTCATCCAGTCAAGTCTCAAGTCCTGAAAATAGTGACTCAAGTCTGACTCAAGTCCAGGTCACGACTTGCAAGTCCCCACCTCTGATCATATGTAATGAATGTAAACAAAAAAGTAATTGTACTAGCAAAAAAATAAAATCTAGTAGACGACCTAACTAATAAGACAAGTTTTTAATCCACCCTAATTCAAATAAAGATGTGTGTCTCATGAACAATGGGGAAAGACAGACAATACTTATTAAACAAAATATATGCATTATAGTAAGGGACCCAAACTCAAGTTCATCTAGAGTCTCCAGATTACTGACTCCGGCATTGGATAAACAAAAAGTGCTCCACTGTTTTTTTATACTCTATGTGATGGATGATTTCAGACCTGAAATTGCCAATCACTAATGAACAAAAGGTAAAATGTAGCTGTAAACTTGAAAACTACCACTTCATGACATCGCAAGGTAGGACAGAGCATTTTGAGCTCCAGGTTTGTTTTTGATGAGGTAACAACACGGCATAAAGCTCACGAGAATCCAAGGATCTTTTATTGTAATAATATAATGCCCTGGGGTAGACAGACAGAGGCAGGACTGCTCATCTACGTCATCTGCCCCGCCAATCACCATCAATCACTCCCACACACACACCACATACAAAGGCAAGAACACAATATAATAAGAACACAATAACAGTTCAGCGTCAGCATAAACTTCCAGTGTCACCGGCTGGTATTTATACTGTAGCAACCTGCAATAATGTAATTGTTAAGACCTTGTTCCTGTTTTTATAACTATTATTTGATGTGTTACGGTAAGTTCATGGCCTACGTGATTGGATGAAAGTTAGGGAGGCTGGGCTCGGGCTAAGAAGAAAGGTTTAGAGGAGGGTTTTTTTTGGTTTTTTTTTTGGTTTTAAAGAGCTATACAGTCCAAGTTTTGAGCGGGACCTATTGGACTGTTTAGATGATTGTGTTGGCGTGGTTACAATTGACAGTAACCAATTAAATTCTCTCAATAAAGCATCATCTTGTAAACTATTCGTCCATTCATTACCGTTAGACGCTACAATACTTTGCAGGTGACTTTCAACTTTCCCGGGTGGTCTAATGCTAACTGTAGGCATGCTTTGTCTGACACTTTGACTTTAATCTGAGTTTTTTTTTTAACATAATCTGACCAGTAAGAAATGACTTAGTTAGAATTACAATAGCTGAGATGATTTGTGCTGTTCAACGACTTCCTTTCAACTTTCCTTTCAGTTAGTCGCTCTCACCTTTTTGTTGAAAATCAAACACCTAAACAGGACCATGCATGATCGCTCGTATTGATCACAGGCTCCTGAAAATGTGTTGTTTAAATCAATTTTGTATTTTTTCTTAACAATCTGAAAATTTATTTGGCGGTGTTTCTGCCCAACCACATCTGAACAGCCTCAACTGTGAAGTGTTTTAAGTCTCATCTTAAGACCCACTATTTCTCTCTGGCTTTTAACCCCACGTGAGTTGTGTGGTCCTCTGTGTATTTTATTTATTTTATTCATTTTTAGCTTTATGCATTTTAACACTTTTCATTTATTGTTTTTAATTATGATATATTATTAATTTGTCTGTGCAGCGCTTTGGAAACTGTTATGTTTATAAAATGTGCTATATAAAAATGAAATGGATTGGATTGTTTGTTAATGTGTGCATTGTGTCTCCATGGTAACTGGTGAACATTGCACCAATACACATAAATATAGCACACCCCCAGCGTGAAGTCGCTGCAAAGTATCAAGACTGTAAAAAACTTGTGTGATTATTTAGCTTTAATTACTGGCTAATCACAGATACAGTAATATAAGTTCCTATTGTTTCTTTTGAGAAGGTGTATTATTATTAATACGTAAGGGTGTAACAATATCCAAGTCTCATGATACGATATTGTCACTGTATGAACCTCACAGTATGATATTTATTGTGATATTTTGTGGTGGCAAAATTGTTAATATGCTACTTATTTTTCTTAAAATTCCTTAACAAGGCTTAATCCAAAGAAATGAGACTTAAAAGTGCTTAGAACTGTTATTTCTTCTTGTAGTCTACACTGAAATGGAGCAAAGGATCATGGTTCTATGTAGTTCTCTGTCTTTTTCTTTTTCTTTTTTTTAGCTATTGCTGCACCATAACTCTTAATTTAAGCGAAGAGACTTGTAATTCGATATATTGTGATAGTCAACAATATTATTGTGAGAATTTTGACAATACGATATCACAATATTTTGGTTATTGTTACATCCCTATTGATAACAAACTTCAGTAAGTAATATTTCCTGAACTTTTCACTTCAGTAATTAGTTTCACAGCTCTGAATACTCACATTAAATCCAGATATTGGTTGAGAAATTCCTCAAGCTATTTCTGTATCATTGCAGTACTGATACTTGGCCGTGACATCAGGTTAGGGGTGTTCTACATGTATGTGTACAGCAGATTGTTTAGGAGTTACCACAATGACACAATGCACACACATTACCAAACACAGGCAAAAAGATTTAAGATCATCAGCAAAGTCAAGAAAAACACAAAATGGATTTAAACAGCAATTTTTCAGGAGCCTGTGATCAATACGACATTCACGGTCCTGTTTAGGTGTTTAATTTTCAACAAAAAGGTGAGAGTGACTAACTGAAAAGACAGCTGACTAATGCTCGCTCGCTTGTGACTGTAATTTGATGTCTGACCTTCATGTCTTTTAGCAGCACAAATCCTCTCACCTGTTGTAGTTCCACTTACATCAGCTCTTTCTGGTCAGATTGTGTTAAATTAAAAATCAGATTAAAGTCCAATTTATGCATCAGACCTTCAGACAGAGCAAAGAATGTTGATGACGTCAGCTGTCAATAGACACGTTTTGCCTTTTAAATGACCTGTGCATTGCTCTCTTGTTGTCTGCACACTTGATTACATGATCCCTATAGAGGCCCATGAGCCCGTTTGAACTGTGCATAATCCCTGTGTGTTGGACAATAACAGTGAAGGCCTCCTGCTGCACACAAAACCACAACAGACAGCTGGGCCAGTCTCTGCTCACACAGACTTTTCATACCAGTAGCATGCAATGTAATGAAAAAAGACTGAGAACATAATCAAACAGCAATCAAACATTCAAGACCTGGTAAATTTGGTTGGTAAAACTGGAAAATATGTTTTTTTGTTTGTTTGTTTGTTTTTTTAATCAGAACTATCTTCCCATAATAGCTAGTCAAATGAACATATGAGTTTAAATGAAATTGTACAGTGTGATGTAGAAATTTAAAAACAATCATTGATAAAACAGCCACAAATTGGAATAAAAACATTTAACCTTACAGGCCTGTTTGCCGAAGAGAATTATGCTTATGGTCCGTGGTTTAGTGTAAAACCATTATGTCAATGTGCTGCTGTGTTTCAGGTAAAGCGTCTGAAGGACTTGGAGCAGGAGAAGGACGCCCTGTGGTGTGGTCTGGAGATTCTGGAGAAGGCCAGACTCTGGTACCTGCAGCGGCTACAGGAGAACAGGCACAGACAGGACTACAGTGCCCCCACACGCACTTCAGAGGTACTGCAGGCCATGGCTGTAGTGCTACTATAGTCTAGTGTTTCTCAGTCTGTGGTCATGTGTCACTGTCAGTGCTACTGGAGAATCTTCTGGCGATCTCCTGACCTGGTGCAATTGACTCCTCTCTAGATCTGATTTAGATCTCATTTTGTTCAGAGTCTATAAGCAGACTTTTTAAAATGTGAAAAGTTTCTGAAGCAGTGGTGTGAGGTGCCCAAGTGAAGCTTTGGTACTGAGCCCTACAGGAACACACATAGATGTGTGCATGTGACAGAGAACAGTAAGCAGTCTTATTCATAATAAGTGTGTCTAAAAACATAAATTTCAAATACAAGGGTCTGAGTGAGCCTGCAGGTCCAGGGGCCCCAGCGTCTGAAATGCCAGATATCACGGCCCTATTAAACACTGATAACAGCCAAAGCATATCTGGAGGTAAAAAAGCCTGATGATTTGTTATGTGTGTCTAACAGGCGGACTCGTGCCTCCTGAGGTCTCGGATCCAGCGGGCAAATGGTTCTTTAGGTTCAGTGATGAATGAGCCCAATGTGACCAGCAGCACACACTCACTGCCTGAAGCTGTGGAGGACAGTGACCTCCGGTGGCATAACACATTACTGACTAAGGTACACACATACTTTGCAGATTTGTTCTAGTTGATTTTTACTTATTGGAATATTTCTTTTTTTGTTTATTCATTTTTTCCCCTGTTTTCAGGAGGTCAGTGAGATGAATCATCAGATTTGTTTGCTGCAAAAGGAGAAGGATGCGCTCTTGGAACAACTGGAAGACCTGAGAGCCCACTGACAATGAATAAACAGAACCTGTTGTAAATATGTATTTAAAATAAACATTATATTAAATAATAATGAAGTTATTTTTTCTATGTGCACTGATTGAAATATGCCACAGTTATGCTTCCTCCCACAGATGTGGGCTCTTTGTGGTTCTTTCCTGGTGGTCCTGAATCTTACCTCCATCTTCTTGTATCAAACATGTCTTTCATCACAGCTACAGCCACAGGGACATTATTAGGCCTTATAAAAGGGTGACACCCTCAGATTGTAACAGAGGGACGAGATATTGTTGAAAAATGTGGTGGGACATGGAGTGCCAGTTTGGGGAAATTTAAGATCCTAGATAATAACTGCAATAATGCCGTACAAATTCTTAGTAACACAAAGACAGATGGGAACAGGGATCCAGCTCTCGACATAAACATCACAGGTTGAGCGGTCAGATCCACTGACCCACAGGTTGGCTGGTGTGATTCCTGCTCCCACAGATGAATGCAGTCATTGTGTCCTTGTGCAAGACACTTAACCCACCTTGCCCACAGTGTCTGCGTACACTGGTGTATGAATGTGTGTGTGAATGGGTGAGTGGTTCCTTGTTGTAAAGCGCTTTGAGTGCCTTGAAGGTGGAAAAGCGCTATAGAAAAATGTGACCATTTACCATTTAACAGTAATATGTGCCAGCATATAACAGCACCCTGAACACTAAAACATACCCAATATCCTGATTTCTTTGTGAGGAAAAAAAAAAGTATAAATGCAAATCCCACTTTATTAATGTATTTATTAATGTATTTTTTATAATGTGGCATCAGTAAAAAAAAAAAAAAAACATTCTCAAACATAAGTGAGGAGCAGGGGCTGTGCAGGACAACCTACCTAAAACTACTCATAACTGTTGTGTTATCATGGACATATTATTTGTTTATAATGAATTCATGAAATAAAGTTAAAAAGTTGGCATCATATTTTCATAAACTATAACTTAAAATCTGCAGAAAAGTGCATGAATCTGACTGCAATCTCTGTTAGGCAAACCCTCTCCAGAGACTATGTGGTAAAAGTAGCTTTATCTGTCAACCACTATCTCGCCATTGAACCATCAAACCCTGAGTACCAGCACTCGCTAATTACCGGCTCTAATTCCCGGAGGCGCCGCAAACACCTTTTGTTAAAACCGTGTCACGCCTCTATGATCGTCAATCCCGCTCTTCCTCGTCTCCACGGTCCACCGACGCCCTCTCTGCTGGCTCTCAAATTCTTACAGCGTACAAAGCATACAATATCGTGTTTATTTTTTTCTCATGTGGCTCGAAAGGAAGTCAGGGAATGTGCCGTTTTCATGCAGGACGCCGGAGGTAGATTATTAAAAGTACTTTCTGAGGCAAACCACCAAGACAACAATAATGATCAGGTATTTGATCACATGATTATATCGTATTCTGATAAATGAAGAAACACATATAATCTCAAAATTCATTGTCAACCTGAATATATTATAAACTGTGAAAAAACACAACAAAAAACACAACATGACATCACCATTTTTGGAACATAGAAAGCCACAAATCTCATATGATGCATTGGTGTGTTCCCATGTGACAGAGCAAGATCAAGATCAAGATCAAGAGCCTTTATAGTCTGAAGTCTGCAATCATATTAACTGTTCATTTGTTAAGGTGTTTAGGTCCATTTCCAAATGTTCGAGTCCAAAATTGGGGGGTAGGAACACAGTCTGTTATTCCCCGTGTCCATTGTCACCATCTACATAATCACTGTAGATCAGTAATTTAAAATAGTCCTGATTTGGGCCTATTCACTTTCATCATCTTTGTTAAAACAGTTTGCCAAGGTCCCATTATTTTCTAAGTGTTCCCATTGGCCAATTTTCCTCTCTCCATCCTCCCTCACTGTCTGCGCAGGCACCACAACAGTCTTTATCTCCAGCAGTGATTGTAGGTGCTTAATGTAGTCAATGGCTGCACGCAGAGTCTCCACTTTACTGAGCCGTTTGTCCTCGTGCGGTAGGTGCTCGCGGAGCCGTGCGTAACCTTCATTTACGCATCGCACTCGGTGACGCTCCCGCTCGTTTCTTTTCCGAATAAAAGCAGGCTCAAATGTATACTCACACACGCTGATAGGTCCATGGAAGGGCAGGTAAGAGAGTCTTCTATAGAAGATCTGCTCGTGGACGTGGTCGAAATAGGCCGTGTCAAAGAAGGGGGTCCCCACGCGCAGAGCATCCTTGTAGCGCGCGCCTCCACAGTTCACGGGCAGGCCGTGGAAAGTCATAGGAGCCGCAAACTGGATCTTATCCAAACTTTCATATTTATGAGAAGACATTTTTTCTATGATCAAAATAATATTAAAAAGTCAATATGACATCTTTATCAAAGACAAGATTGTGCCTTATATAGGCCTACCTGCAGACTGCACATTCAGGATGCTGATGTGTCCAACTTGTTATCCTTGATCAGATGTAAAGTGCACCCGAGCACATGGGCTTTATAGCCTACAGGTAAAATGCGGTTTTGAGGCGGAGATGCAGGAAGACTTTTTCATCTAGATAAAAGTTGTTGACAATCCCCTCCTTCCGTTCCCACCTGTGGTTCCCACATGTCTCCGTGGCAGAGACCAGTTTCAGCAACGCTCTCTCACTCTGTTGAAAATGTGGAAGTCAAAACCTATTTGGAACACCAGTTATAAACCTTATACTTTATTAAAAATACTTTTGGTTTTAGAGAGTTATTTTGTTTTATTTGAAGCTGCCAAAAAAGTGAGCCGGTCTATGACCGCATCAGCGCGAGTCTTTGCGCATGCGCACCAGGCAAACCATCATGGCCCCGTTCAGGGAGGTTTTGTGCAGAAATTTTGTTGTTTTCAGTCTCATTTTTGTTCATTTTTCCGCGGATTTAGCGTCCGGACTTGAGCACATGTCCCGATCACGATGACGGTAAGTTATTCCATCGAGACCCGCTGTTAATGGCGTACTTTATTCGGAAATAATGATTTTAGATGCTGTCTGTGCTAGCGGGTTAGCTGTCAGAAGGAGTCGTGTTATTTTGTTTTTAGACAACTACTATCTCCCTCATCTGGTGTAAAATTGTGACCATATTCTGCTCTCCATTTTGTCTAGGGCTTTTGTTACACACGACTGACGATTACTGAAACTCTGCTGTCAGACATTGTTGAATAAATCCAGGTAAGTGTGGTTTTGTTGATCATTGCTTGTCTAGCCACTAAGTTAACACCCCCGTATTTGCTAATGGATCTTTGTATTTGTTTTCTAGGATGAATGACATGAATTTGAGTCCAGTGGGCATGGACCAGCTCAATGTGCCCTCAGTCAGTGCCAGTCATCTTGGTCTGCCCACTTCGCCCACACACAACCCTATACCCACTCCAGGTAAGGGATGTCTAACATGAAAGATAGCCTGCCTTAACACAATTGTGAGAAATAAAATAAAAGATTTAAGTCTTGTACTGTAGTGGTTGGTGACACTGACAAAAATTAGCATACTAGTATTTTCTGGATTATCTTGATGACAATATTCAGTAATAGTAGTAGTAGTAGTTGGTATTATTGCAATACATCCAAAAATGTGCCCATAAATGTCTTGGTTATGGTTCAAGTATGGTGCTAAACATTAATGGAGAGTAAAATTAAATCGTGCCAATTTACTGCTTGGATGATTACACTGAAATTTTTTAACTTTTACTTGTCTGCTTTTGAAGGCATTTTGAACAGTTTTATTTACCAAAATAGACAGACTGCAGACAACTAACAATTGCAACGTTATCCACCTTTCCATTCCTAATTGTACATACATAACTTTTACTCTAATAACTTGTCATGTTTTTAGGCATGCCTGTTGCCATCCCCAGCCTGGGTCCCTCTCTGGGCTCTCTCCCCTCTGCTTTGTCACTGATGCTGCCCATGGGTCCCCTGGGTGACAGAGGAGTGATGTGTGGTTTACCTGAGAGGAACTACTCCCTGCCCCCTCCTCCTTATCCTCATCTGGAGAGCAACTACTTCCGCCATATACTTCCAGGTGAGATACAGCACAGTGAAGTCTCATTTGAAGTTATTGTACACTTTACTATATTTGACTAAGCTGTAGACTAATTCACAATGTACGATTGCCAAGTCAATTATTAGAAAAATAATTTTAAAATTTGTACTAGCTAATTCTTTAAGATACGTTGCATAAACACAAAACAGTGCAAAGATTATATAATGATTGACAGGACATAGGGTTATTTGTAAGGGTGAGTTGTTGTACAGTTGTATGGAGTATGGTATGACTGTAGTCCTGTATCTCTCACTGAGCGGAGCTGTAGGAGCAATGAGCTGTTGGAGAATGAGCTCCTCTGTCACTCAGTCAAGTTGTCAAGTTATAGCCATTACAGCTTTTTACTACTCAGGCTGGCGCCACCTAGTGCCTCTGCTCAATTTCATTTATTTTGTGCTACTAGGTCAGGAATTGTAATACACTAGACAATTTGCAAGAACCTCAGAAGTTGTTGACCTCACACCGGCCAATCAGTGAAGAGCTGTGAAGCCATGACGTCAAACTCAAGCGCCTGTCTGGGTCCCTTTTGTGGTACAGCACAACAGTAAACAAAGCGGTCAAGATGGATGTAGATGAAGCTAAACATTCTGTGTTGGCAACGATTCCCGAGATTGAGGATTTAAAGCCAGAACTAAGAGAATGTTTGGTGAATTTTATCAAGGGGAAAGACGTTATTGCCCTTCTTCCTAAGGGATTTGGGAAAAGCTTAATATACCAGTTAGCCCCGTTAGTGCTGCATTACATACGTCACGTCTTAATAGCAGTGATTGGTTAAATGAAAAAGTACCCACCTACCGTCGAGTATACGAAACCTAATGGTGCAAGGTCAGATGGTTTCCACGAAGTGAAACCGGCTGATGAATCAGGCTAGCATTTTGCAACATATACATAAAAAATGACTTGCTTCTACTTTATCCACTGTTTCCGTAGGTATCCTGTCATATCTGGCTGACCGCCCTCCCCCTCAGTACATTCATCCCAGCAGCCTTAACATGGATGGACCTCTATCTGTGGCCAGCAATAACCCCTCTGGGCTGGACCCTTACAGTGCCCCTGGTGGACCTCTTGAGCAGGGCCTGGTGCCTATGGACTCCCGACAAGTCAGTACCCAGGCAGACCTCCACCAAACAGGCCACGAACTCACCTCTACAGCTTTAGGCATTGTGTCCAGGGTTAGTAGTCCCATGTCAGACCGAATGGGAGAGGAATTGACTTCAATGGAAGTAGGTGTAGTTTCTGTGTCCGATACGCAACAGCAGCTTGGAGGAGGGAGACAGCCTCAACCACACGAAGGGTTAACAGGAGTGGACTCATCTGGTGGTGTAATCCCTCTCCATGGGCCACCGGTGCTTGAGCTGCCCGAAGTGATGGAGCCAGACCACATGGGAGGCAGAGTGGGCACCACAGGGGAGCAGCTTCACCCAAATGGGGAGATGAACTCGGGTGTGGTTAGCGTGGTGCTCACTGGGTCCATGGGCAGTCAGGGGCAGCTGGAGCCAGTGTCTCTGCATGGGCACATAGGGATGGGACTGGAGGCTGTCAATGTATCACCGATCACTGCGGAAGTGTCACTAGAACCAGAAAACAACCTGGTGCTGGTGAACTCCACGCTGCAGCTGGAAGACTCTACCTCGAATAAAGAAAACATGGTCACTACCTTCTCTATATGTAAGATCCTCTCTTTTAAATTATGTTTTTATACTGAGATTATTGTAGCACAATCAGAATCAACCTGTATCAAAATCTTTTTATTTAGTGCAAGTTTTGGAGAATAAATATCACTTATTTTGTTTACTGATTAAAACACAAGCACTAACACAGATAAAAATTTTTTAGTTACTGCTATATGTTTATGACAACACTACATGCATAGTATGTTGTTTTTCCCAATTTTCCTCAGATTGTTTTTAATAGAGGAGACTAGTAGACCCCCATAGTCTCCTTTTATAAATGGGAAACACTGCTTTACTGCACATTCATTGTTGTTAATGGAGAGTCAGTTTGACATCAGTGGAACACAACAGTGACCGCCCACCCCGTGGTTCCCAAACAAAATTTTCATTTTTCCCATAGACTTTCAAAAAATATATATATATAAAAATTAAAAAGTTTGCTTAAAAAAAACAAAATTTTATTGAAAGTCTGTTTCTGAAACATTATAAACTGCAATTATTATTATTATTATTAAAACATTTCACAGAATCTTACGCTTTAAAATGTCTTTTTTGATTTTAAACAACTGTGTTATGGATTTTTGTTACCACATGGCTGCTTAACGTCTGTGATGTCTGAACTCTTTATATTTGATTTTTTAAATGGCTATGGGAAAAATGAATGGAAAATTTACTTCTGGAACTGGAGTGAGCGGTCACTGATGAGCTTCATTGTTGTGATACTGATAAGCTTGAACAGCAAGAATAACACTGTTCACATTTCTTTAGATATAATTATTTTGAAGAAACAGAGATTTTTAAATAATTAGTTTGATTATTAATTTATATTTAAATAATCAAGACATATGTTCATTTGTGTATTAATATAAACTTTTGCTTCTGATTTCTTAGGGTGCACACTGTGTGAGCGCTCCTATACCTCAGACTGTCCAGAACATGGACCAGTCACCTTCATCCCTGATTCTCCCATTCAGACCCGAGCTCGCCTCTCTCTGCCCCGCCCACTGTGCCTGCGCATCTCTGTCACTGAGGAACCTCTAGGTAAGAAATACGTTATCTACAAAATGGTATTAAATGCAATCCTGCAACTAAGGCTGTGTTCAAACTTCACACTATATCAAACTGGGCTCAAACTATAGTATGACAAATCCCAGACAAGTGTGAATGGAAGTTAACGCTATCCAACCAAAGTCATTAAAATACTAACATTATATTATTTAATGTTTTAGGAGTTTTTGCACGAGACATCATAGCTCCAAGAACCTGTTTTGGACCGATGGTTGGGCAGCACTGCAGTAATGCAGACCTCTCGGATTGGCCAGAAAAAGACACACCACAGCTATGGAAGGTTAGTTTTCATATAATTTAATATATAACACCACTACTTGTACTTTCAAAACTTGTTTTAGATCTGTCATATAAAAACACTTTCTGTTACAGATGTACCATAACAATGTGCTGGAGTTCTACATTGTAACAACAGATGAAAACGAATGCAACTGGATGATGTTTGTCCGAAAAGCAAGGTTTGTATTTGTTTGTTCTGTTCACTCTCTATATGAAATTGACTGAACATGAACATGTAAACACTTATTAAATTTTGTTTCTAGAACTCTTGAGGAGCAGAATCTGGTCGCTTATCCATCCAAGGGCAAACTGTTCTTCTGCACCACCACAGAAATCCACCCAGACCAAGAGTTACTTTTCTACTACAGTCGGGACTACTGTAGACTTTTAGGTAAAATAACTGCTTGTACTTTTCTTAAAGGTGCTCTGTGTAACATTTCTAGTGGAGGTTCCGTCACCTGCTTGTCTCCATGAAAAGGTTATTGCTTTGTCTAGAATGTTCTACAGTATAGATTAAACTTATAACGGTGGAGACAAGCAGATTACAGCACTACGCTACATTACAATTCAGATCTGTAGAAAGTCACCCCTCTTCAGTTTATTATTGTGTTTTTGAGCAAGAGAAAGACCCGTAATGAACAAATGCTAGATGTATATGTGTAATGTCATACCATGGGATATTCAAGGTAAAGCAAGGCATGGAGACAAATTGGTAGCGGACCCTCCACCAGAAAAGTTGTGCAATGCACATGTAGCATATCCCTCTGAATGAAGACTGACACTTGAACTGGCGATTTTTAGATTCAATCTCAATAAATCCTCCAATCTGCCGTAAGAGTTAAAAGGAATACAAAATACAGTGTGTAAAATGCATTCACAAAACTCAATGCAAGTTTGATTAATATTTACATTCATCTTGACAACATCGATCAACAATGATAAAAAACTAGAGACACAAAGTTATTCAAAAGAAATATTTACATCAATATCATACCTTTGTGCCTCTTCAGAGGGGAAGCTAAACAAAGACATAGAAAAATACCAAAAAATATATATCTACACATTTGCTCCGTATAATGTTTTTCCCTTCTCGTTGTCATAGGTAATTAAGACAAATATAAACCCTTCAAAATAAAAGCGCTAAACATAAACGCGTAAGTTAATGTTAACAACAGAAAATAGTGCAATATAAAAATAATAATTTTTAAAAAAGTCACAAGAGATATTAACAAAGACAAATTATACTATAGGTTGTTTACAGTACCTTTAACAGTACAGACATAACATGGTAATTTTATGGACATGGCATTATGACATAGCCAGACTGGCCCCACCTAGTGCCTCTGCTCAATTTCATTTCGACTAGGTTGAAGTACAAACTTCTCATTTTTTATTGCACCTTTAATTCGCAAGTTCATCTCACAGAAATGACAATGATGGTTGACAGACATGTTCACTCTTTGCTTTGTTTGCTGTTGTGCCAGCTATTACTTGGACACCACTGAGCGTTCCAGCGCATTACATACTTTACGACCAAACGGCAGCTATTGGTTAAATAAAAAAGTACCTGCCTTCGAGTGAATGAATTCTAAAGCTGCGAGGTCAGACGTTTTTCACCAAGTGAAACTGGCTGATGAATCAGTCTAATCGTGACATGCAAGTAATAAAAAAAAAATGCCTAAAGACTGAAGGAACCACCAGGAAATATAGTTATTATTTTCTTGGTAATAGTACGGTTGGCTCTCTTGAGTTTACTAGACTCAACAATTACAAAAATTACAGTAAAGGAAAACTATTATTTGAACACTAAATACAGAGATTAAAGGTCTGACATTGCACAAAATGGACTCTTACGAGCTTTAAGCCATGTTATAAAGTTGTTAAATAAGTAACCTTTGCCATTTTCATCCTGTTACTGATGCTTTTAAGTTTAGTGTGATCAAATAAGTCATTTCCCGTACATTGTTCTAGCCTTAGAAAAACTTTATTAATCCACAAGGGAAATTATTTGGACACAATACATATCAAAATATATTATCATAATACAGAGTAAAAATGTAAATGGTATTAATACATTCCAAATATGTAACAAAAGACTGGTGTCAAAAAGGTGTAATTATATAAAATGTATATGTACAAGTTAAAATGTAATAAATGAAATAAGTACTGGGTAATACAAATATCTCAGGCAAAGTGAAAAATAATAGCTATATACAAGATTGCACATTTGAAACCACATTTTGATTGGATATTTTTGTCCATTGTCTCTTGTATTTCTACAGGAGTTCCCCAGGTTCCTGAAGGACAGCTCTGCCAGTGTGGAAAAGAGTGCTCATCTTTCACTGAGCTCAAGTCTCATTTAAACAATCATAACCAGCCCGCCCACAACCACAGCCCGTCACAGCAAGACCACCCGCCCCCTCCTCCTCCTCCACCTCAACAAATGGACCAAACATCACAACAGCAGCACCCTCACCATGACGACAAACTCACCAATGGGGCGTCCAGTTCCTCCTCTTCACCCTGGTCCAGCCACCCGCACAACCAAACTAATAATGATAATAACAGTACAGAGGACAACAGCAATGGTATTTCCAGTAATAACACTACAGCGAAAGGAAAAGGCCAGGGGCAAACAAGAGAGAAGAAGTTTAAGTGCAGTATGTGCTCCAGAGCTTTTATAACTTCTACTAAACTCAATGTGCACTTCATGGGACACGTGGGGATGAAGCCTCACAAGTGTGAATACTGCAGTAAAGCGTTTAGTGATCCGAGCAACCTCCGAATGCACCTCAAGATCCACACAGGTACTGCACAACCCAGGCTGTTGTGTTAATTTTATTTTTATATTTTGGGGTTTTTGTACCATTGTTTATAATATTCACCTTTTAACAAAATGTGTAAATGGGAACAAATTGGTATCTCTTTTAAGTTTAAATTTATTGTTTTAATTCATAGTTGCTGTGTAATGTCTTTGGTGAAATTATGATCTAAATATTGCAGTTGGAACTACAAAAATCAAATAAGAAAATCTTGATTGAGAAAATGAAGGAGAGAAAACAGTGATTCATTTTTGCCATATCTTCTTGCCCTAAAATATAATTAGGTTAAATTCACATTTCTCTTTTTCTCTTTCTAAACATAAACATGTGCAAAATGAATGAAAATGATTAAGGGTAATATCTTTAATGTCATTTTACAGGCCTTTGATATGGCAGGTGGAAAAAAATTGTATTAAAGGAATGTGTACTTGTTAGACATTTTTGCCAGTCCTTCACATATTTTTGCAATTTTCTGTGTTTGAACAGGTCAAAAGAACTACAAATGCACAGTTTGTGAGAAGTCGTTCACACAGAAGTCCCACGTGGCCTCTCACATGTTGATCCACACCGGAGCAGAGAAACTCAAGTGTGACCTGTGTGACCGAACCTTCATCAGGAAACATGACCTCAAGCAGCACATGTTCTCACACACACAGTATGTATTATTTATCACTTTCTTAAAATGCAAAATATATCAACATAGTGTTTGATTCTGCAAAACTTTAATCAGAACCATTGTAAAGAATTAAACTTAACCCAACGTTTTTCTGACGTAGTTTAAAGTTCTGGTGGAGGGTCTGGCACCTTCCATAGAGATGGTATTGCTTTGCCTTGAATGTTTTACAATGTTATTTCACTTTTCTCCATGGAGACACGGAAGTGGCCAGGCCAAGGTAGAGTTCAGGTCGATGTTTTTCAGCGTATAAAAACAACTGTACAATGCAAGATAGATGAGTTAAATGCCACACAGTGGAACATTTCAGGTAAAGCAATAACATCTCCATGGAAACAACCAGGTGAGGTACCCTCCAACAAGTTATGCAGTTCACCCTTCAAGAATTTATAGCTTAATTTATGAACTCTGACCATAAATTTAGAATAAAATAAGAGCTATATCTGAGGGAGAAGTGTTAAGGCCATCACACACCAGGACACTTTGTCGCGCAGCAAAATTGCCGCCTCCATTATTTTCAATGAGCCAACACACACTGGGCGCACACTTGCTCCTGCAGTGGGTCCAGACATGTCTCTGCTCTGTGACTGACAAAAGGAGCTATAAACTTGTTAAGAGTCGTGACATGTGGCGTTCAGTGTGTGTTGACCCGTGGGGTAGACACGTGGCAAATGACATGCCACAGTGTGCCGCGTTTTGGTGTGCCTTGGCCTTTAACCAAATAAAATGCAGTGAAATAATTATAAATTATATTAGTTTTTAATGCTGTAGCAAATATTTGGATGATAACTACCTAAGTGTACTGATAATTAATAAAGATAATATATTTTTATTTTCAATTATTTCAGTGAACGCCGGATCCAATGCCCTAAATGCAACAAACACTTTCTTAAGACAAACCATCTTAAAAAACATATGAACTCCCACGAGGGCCGCAGGGACTTTGTTTGTGAAAAATGTCATAAAGCTTTTCTCACCAAATACCACCTCACAAGACACCTCAAGATCTGCAAAGGACCCAAGACTGAACGGACATCACGAAAAGAACGTGTGGACGGAGAGGATGAGGAAGAAGAGGAGGAAGATGACAGCAGTGGAAGAGGAGAGGCTGAAAGACTAGACTCTGTCAGTAATGAAGCTTGCAGTTTAGATGCTGCAGGATATAACTCTGAAAAATCATTATCTCCTCCACACTGAGAAACACAGTGCCTCGTCTTTGAAGTATTTTTGAGTATTATTTAACAAATATTGGTCTGTAAAAGGTCGGGCTGGACAAAATATTATATATCATATTGTTCAATCACAGGACAAATTCTACATGGAGATTGGGGCATTCGTCACCATATTTGATCTATCAAACTATTGCTTTTTATGTATGATAACAGGAAAGTTAGGAGAGTTATAAACTCATTTAAGACCTAAAAGGTCAAAATTAAATTAAAACAGATTTAATACTGATATTTGCTGACATTTATGGATATTTCCTTTGGAGTTTATGTTTTTTTACATTAACAGGTAGAACCAATATAGCGGCAGAAGGAAAAAAAGACCTTGATTTTTTATTTAAAAAATTACAGAAAATAATAAAATAAATAAAAATTACCTTCAACATTCATAAACAAGACAGACTTTTAATCATTGCCATTTAACACAAAAAACCAAACCACTTAACAGTAAACATCAGAATTGACTGAATCCCTTCTTGATTCGAATTTGATTGTCCAGCCCTAGTAAAAGTTTTATAAGCTCTCTCTTCCTTTTCTCTGTTTTAAAGTTACTGCTGTGATAGATTGGGTATTACATGATAAACTACAATAACGTTATCCAAAACAAATTTCCTCAGATGTACTTTTTGTAATATGCTTTTTGTAAACATAAGTGTATGGGATTCTCTGTGATCAAGATGACTTCAATCCAGCAACAATATCTAACTGATGCTATTATCTTGCCATAATGGTCTTGTTAATTTATATTTTTGTACTGAAATATTTTGTGAACAGAAGATGATGTTTAAATTAATATGTTAATCATGTTCATTAAGTAATTCTCTGAAGACTGGCCTTTTGTGGATTTATTAAAGGCTATTTTATTCAACTTGTCGATTTTTTTTTTCTTCTTTTTGTTGCTTTTATTTTGTAAAGTAAACATGATAGCGGAAGTACTCTGTGTAACTTCCGGTTGAAATACAAATTATGCAGCGCCGCGGCTGTCACTTTCTTCAGCGTGGTATGATTAATTATTGATTTATTTAATAATTACTTGCGTCTGAATTAAATAATACCACCTGCGTTAGTTGTGCTGGATATAAGGAAACACGTGCCTAAAGGAGAAGTCTAAATATTCTTGTTTTGTAGTTCTTTGGGCAAGCTAAGTCATGCTAAGCTAACGTGTCATTTTAGGAATAGCACAGCAGCTCAGTCATTTGTTCTGGTTCTGCTTACGAAGTTTGTCCAGTTAGTTTTTATCTGGCCATAGTATGAATTTTACTTTGTTATATTTGTCCGGATAGCTGTGTATTTACCAAAGTTTGTGTAATATCTAATTGTATTTTGTGTGTTTCAGTTGTGTGACCGGTGAAATCATGTTGACCCCGCCGAAGGAAGGGACGCCGAGTATGATTGACAAGGCGCTGCGGATGAGACGGGAGGAGCAGGCTCGGCAGGTGGTCCTGGCCTGGGCCGTCCTCAACATGTCTTTAGCTGGCATGATTTATACTGAAATGTGAGTTTTTTTTTCCTTTGAGCTTGTCCTTCCTCTGTCGCCATGGCTTTGTAAAGGTGCACTGTGGAGCTTTTCTGGTTGCTTGACTCCATGGAGATGTTATTGCAATGATTCTAATGTTATGCAGTAGGGCAGGGGTGTCCAAACTTTTTTCATCAAGGGCCACATATGTAAACACAGACGAAGCAGAGGGCCAATGGAGGGCCGTAGCCTGATGCTCAGTACAGGGAATAATTGAAATATGTGCGTATTTAACCATTATTTTATTTTTATGTTAGAATGAGCCATCAGTCTTTATTCATGCTAAGATCCTTAAAACCACACACTAAATATTAAATATTGGCTTTCCAGGTAGATTCTCAAAAAACTTGCAGTAAAAAAATATTTTTTTAATTAATGCAAGATAATTTGGGTCAATTCACTTGGAAGTCTGAGGCCCAAGAAAAATGTGTCTGAGGGGTGCATTTGGCCCCCGGGCCATAGTTTGGACATACCTGCAGTAGGGCATTAAACTTATCTCTCTCTCACTATAGGCTCTATTCAAGCTTACGTCACAAATCAGGAAGACGTTCGCTGTAGTACGTGTGACAATATCTAGAAAAAATAAATAAATGGCATATTTATTTAACATTTCACATTATTAAACAAAGACTGAACATAAACAAATATTTTAGACAGACAGTGTAGAATAACATTTACAGAAATAACATATAAACACCTCAAATATAGACAGGTTCATATTCATACATGAATGAACAAAAACACTGTCTCACCTTTCCCAACATCTTCTCATTCTCTCCTTTGACATATTCAGTGTACAAATATTGGTTTACCTCCAAATTTTAATTATAAGCAGGTTTGTTTGAATTTTGACTGTAGGTAATAATGTATCAATTTATGTATCTGTCTAATTATAGTGATAAATTGAATAGTTTTCAATCTAGGATAAATGAGAAAATGGCCCAGTTTTCTTCATCTAAATACCATTGTTGCGTTCCGTTTTGTTCGGCTAATCAACAGTTACAACCATACCTCAGTTTTCATAATTTACCCACTGACAAACAACTCTGAGCGCACTGGGTACATGTAATTAGAGGAGATGAGACACCAAATTCAAGATGATTCCAAACAGCACATACGTATGCAGTCTTCATTTTAACTTCAATGGGCTTTATTAGTCAGTCAGCAAGCCCAGTGTCGGTAAATACAGCAGAAGATGTCATCACATTTTTCCAAGTGTCTCCCTGGTTTGGGACGTGAGCGTGAATAGAGCCGATTGAAACAAGCTGGTCAGATCTGTGGAGAGGTGACATAACTCACAGAATGAATCCCTGTTTTACACCGTATATTTGTGGCAATAAAACACGTGGAACTGAATAAATGCAAGATTGGTTTAATGCCATACATGTGGAACATATCAGGCAAAGTGAAAATAATGTCTCCGTGGAGTCTACAACAGCAAAGTTACATAGTGCATCTTTAATTCAATTCTAAATCTTTTTTTGTTTTTTCATTTAGGTCTGGGAAATTGCTGAGCAGATACTATAACATCACCTACTGGCCTATCTGGTACATAGGTCGGTATCTAAATATTATTACACAAATATGATGTTAACTACAATTATTAAAATACTCTTGTCCATTTTCTTTCCTACAGAATTAGCACTAGCCTCTGTGTTTAGCCTCAATGCACTTTTTGACTTCTGGAAGTATTTTAAGTACACTATGGCTCCAGCCTCAATTGCTGTATCTCCAGATCAACATCGCCTTCTTGGACTTACAAGAACAGGTAAAATATTGAACAGTTATGAACAATTTATTGTATTTGTTGTTTACATTTCTCTTACAACTTCTTCTGTTTTTTTTTTTTTTTTTTTTTTCTAAAGGTATTCAAGCCTCTCCCGTGCAGAAACCTGAGAAGAAAGAGACTCCCGCTCCAGCGCAGTCATCTCCTCTGCAGGGTCAAAGTGTGCTGAGCTTCAGTCCGTCTCGACCTCCCACCACAAGTCCCAAGTTTTCTCCCACCTGTGTACCCGGCTACAGCCCCGGACTCAGCAACCCGCCCACCCCCAACAGCGTGGGAGGGCCGTTTTCACCCTCAGTCAACTATGGAAAGGTTTGAAATAACAAAATAAAATAAATAAATAGCATATTTATTTCACATTTCACATTATTAAACAAAGACTGAACATAAACAGATATCTTATACAGTATATCTAAAGCAGTGTAGGATCACATTTACAGAAATAGCATATAAACACCTAAATTTTAGACAGATCACAATCACTCATCACAAGCTGGATGAAATGTCTTGCTTGATGACAAAACAACATTAAGCGGCGGTTTGAGCTGTGATCCAGTATTTGACATGTTTACATAGTGCCCAAAATGTCCCTCTCATTTTAGGTGCTGAACTACAGTCCATCCCCGGGCTCTTCTCCTTATCCAAGCAGCATTGGTCCAGTTGAAGGTTCCAGCTTAAGAGCTCGATATCGTACCTCACCCTCTGTGTTCAACTCCCCTGGAAACAAAGAGGACTACATGGAAGATCTGAAGAGTTTGGAAAGGTTTCTACGCTCAGAGGAAGAAAAAAGTCATAGAAGTCAACTAGGTATGTCACAGCCTGTTTAGCAAAAAATGTATTCTGAGATACAGAACTCAGGACGTTGAAAGTCATAGTGAGAATACAGCTGACTAAACATAACTTGGTTGAGAACAGGAATAGCGAAAATATTTCTTTATGGATAATGAAATAAGATCAATTCAGTAACACTATTTCTTCCCAAAGGTTGTCATTTAAAGGTTCACTGTGTAACTACTTATCTCCATGGTGATGCTATTGCTTTGTCTGGAGTGTGACACAATATGGTATTAGACTTTAGCACAGGCTGGTGCCACCTAGTGCCTCCGCTCAATTTAATTTCTCTCCAGCGACTAGGTCAGGAATCAGAATATAATAGACAGTTTGCAAAAACCCCAAAAGTGCGAGTTCGGGCACCAGCCAATCAACGAAGAGCCATACATTCTGTGCTGGCAAGGATTCCCAAGATTGAGGATTTAAAGCCAGAATAAACAGAATGTTCAGTGAATTTTATGAAGAGGAAAGACGTTATTGCCCTTCTTCCTATGGGATTTGGGAAAAGCTTAATATACCAATTAGCCCCGTTAATCACGCATTACATACATCACGACCAAATAGCAGTGATTGTTTAAATGAAAAAAGTATCGTATCCTAATGGTCAGACAGTTTCTGTGAAGTGAAACCTGATGAATCAGGCTAATTAGACGTGGCCATTTCAGACAAACCAATAACATCATTACAGAGACAAGGAAAGTTACATAGTACACCTTTAAAGGCACAAAGAGCAGTACAATCACATAAAAATAATGTGACAGCTTTAATATGGACACTGCTATCACAAAAAGGTGTCTAGGCTGAAAATGGGGTATTAAAAACATTGGCATCACTAAAATATATAGGGAATAATTTGCATCCACAATTGAAAGAAAATTATTATTGATGGAAAATTACAATCAGTACATGTAGTGCGATGCAGAGGAAGTGTTTTTGGGCACTCATTTATTTGTGTTTTTCATTGTGTTTTTAATTATCAAATGTGTAATTCTGATCTTGTTATTCATGTTAGGGAGTCCAGAATCTGTGTCTCCAAATCACAGTCCAACGTTTTGGAACTACAACCGCTCTGTGGGTGATTATGCTCAGAGCTTGCGGAAATTCCTGTATCAGCCAGCCTGTCGCTCTCAGGCCCCATCTGCACACAAGGATGAGACAGACCTTGGCTCCAAACAGGCTGCAGAGGAGGTGTGAAAACAATTTGTCAATTTGTTTCATTGTTTATTCCAAGATCATTGTGTTTTTTTCATTGGCGTTTTTCCTGACCATTTGTGTGCAGGTGTGGGCCAGGATTACAACTAGTCGCTTCGTAGTGGACCGCATTGACAGCTGGACGGCAAAACTTAGAAATGTGAGTTCTATTATTCACTGCACTCGCTATATGAACAATTTGGCAATTAGCTGCCATCATGCTTGAATTCATAGTTTATCATGTTTTTGTTTCATTTTGTATTTCAGTGGATAAGTGACACCATCTTAGTCCCATTGGTCAAAGAAATAGACTCTGTAAACAGCCAGATGAGAAGGATGGGCAGCCCTGAACTCCAAATTGGAGGTGAGGAATAAGTGACAATGAAATATATAGTATATCTACTTAAATATTTAAATTAATAAATGTGTATTGTTTTCTTGTGTACCCTAGAGGCCAGTATAAGTAGCCTAAAGCAGGCAGCAGTGATGAAGGCTTCTTCCATTCCTACAATAAACTCCATTGTCTTATACTTGGACATCACTCCTAATCAGGAATATCTGGTGGAGCGGATACGGGGTAAGATCACCAGTTAAATACATTGTACATTTTAATTTTGTTTGGGTCAAAAACACTATTAATCTTTACTTTTACTCTTAGAGCTCGCACACAGTGGCTGCATGAGCTCCTTCAGGTGGAATGGAGGTGGTGATCTGAAGAACAGGAAGTGGGACAATGACCTCCCCACTGACTGTGCTGTGAGTATAAAACTATAGGGCTCTTTTCATTGAAGTAATCTATTTGCAGCATTCAGTCAGTTTAAATGCTCTTTGCTTTCTCTCTTCAGATCCTTATGCATGTTTTCTGCACCTACTTGGACTCCAGACTACCTCCACATCCCAAATATCCAGATGGGAAAACTTTTACATCTCAGCATTTCAGCCACACCCCAGATAAACCTGGTAAAATACAGTTAATGAACTTGTGTCTCATTTGTATCATCTAATTTACTGTGTGTCATTCTGAGATATTTTCTTCCACAAACCTCCGCAGATGTGACCAAGGAGAACCTCTTTTGTATCCACCAAAGCAGCACTACACCGCCCCATTACCAGCTCATCTATCAAGGGCACATCTACAGTCTTCCTAAGGTGACTAATTAAACTAGAAATATAGAAAATATTAAGTGCATGCTTTAAATTTTCTGAGTTTTGCTACCTGTGTTTCCTCCATGGAGATGTTATTGCTTTGCCTGAAAGGTTGTACCTTATACTTGAACAATAACAGCAAACCTGTAAATGAGCAGACGCTAGACAGATGCATCTACAGTGGTTCCTTGTTTATTGCTGGGGTTACGTTCTAAAAATAACTCGCAATAGGTGGAATCTGCGAAGTAGTCAGCTTTATATTTTACAATTATTATATCTGTTTTAAGTCTGTAAAACCCCTCACCACATACTTTGTACACTTTTCTCAGACAGGACGGTTGCAACCCTTTTTGCATCCTTCTTAAAACTTATTGCTGCTGTCATCATTATGTTATTTTCCTCCTTTATGTAACGAACTGAAGATTAATTTATTCCGTAATGACGCCCTACAGCCACGTAACTTCTACCTTCCTTCAGTGTGTCTAGAAGTCCAACTTTTTGTGCGATCGTTTGCATCTTCCTCTGCCTTTTGGTTGCTACCGCAAGTGCCTTTGTCGACGCAGAACGTTTCATCAACATTGTGGGTTTTGTCGGGGAGAAAACTTGCAAACATACAGCACTTCAGAATCACACTCTAGAGATCAAACATCTATGTAAATTTGGCAAACTGAACGCATTCTGTACTGTATAGGAGACATGGCACGGAGGAGATTGTCTAAGGGAGTGTAGACCATTGTCAATCAAGCAGGATGCAGGGGAAGGAACACAATGCTTGTTCATACGTTGTAAAAAAGGCATGCAAAATTGCACTAAAAATATGCAAAACAGCAAAGCCGTGAAAGGTGAACCACAGTATAGTGAAGGATAACTGTATTTATGTACAGGTGTTGTGTTATTGTTCAAAAGTGCCCTGAAAAATATATATTCTCACTGTGAACACTCCAGATCTGACTCGTAACTTGACCTAGTGCTGTCACCTGCTTGGCGATGAATAGGTTTAATGCCGTACTGTGGAACATTCCAGGCAAAGCAATAACACTGTCTCCATGAAAAGAAACGGGTGGTGAACTTTCCACCAGAAAAGTTACATAGCTCATCTTTTAAACATCAATATCCATTTTTGAGCCTCTTCCTTTGCTAATAAAACTCCTTAAACAGATATGCAAGTAGTAATTTTGGACCTCAGTTTTCCTACTCATTTCAATAATTATATGCTTTAATGATGTTATTACATAGATGACTGTAATCTTTCCCTGAAGCAAACCTGCTGACCCTGAGCTGTCTGATTTCTGTTCCAGGGCAGGAACAACTTGTTCCACACGATCCTCATGTTTCTTTATGTGATTAAAACCAAAGAATCAGGGATGCTCGGGTAAGTGCGCACTGTTCCACCTCTAGTGCTCACAATGAGTATGTGTGAAATGTAGAGGGAGAGTATCACCTGCCACTGTCACTTGTATTGTAAGATGTATTGTCTAACTTTTATGGTCGAGGGTGCGTTGCCTGCTTGTTTCTATGGATATGTCATTGCTCTGGAATGTTCCACAGTATGACATTAAACAGCTCTACCTTACATTTATTCAACTACTGTGGTTTACAGCTCAGAAATACCAGTACCAAATTCCTAATTCCAATAGAAACCGGCATTCTGACTTTGAGCTGGTTGCTTCGCCACAGATTTGTTTAAGATTTAATAGCGTACTGTGAAACATCCAGACAAAACAATAACATCTCCATGGAGAAAAATATTTGACGGACCCTCCCCCAGAAAAGTTACACAATGCATCTTTAAGTATTAAAAATAATTTGCTGATTAGTACTGAATTAAAGCTTTAAAATGAGTATTGTGTGTTCATGATTCATCCTAAATTTCAGGGATGGAAACTAAAATAATTAATTACATAGATAATTAGATTTTAGCTTTTTACATTGTACTTTTTAGTAGATTTTTGAAGTTGTACTTGTAATTGAGTATAATTCTAGCCATGTAATTGTAATTGGTTACACAGTGCAGTACAAGTACCACAAACAGCCTCTTATTGCTTTTCTAATCTGCTGTTTTGCTGTTTTATTTGTCACAGGAGGGTGAATCTTGGTCTCTCTGGAGTCAACATCTTGTGGATTTTTGAAAGCTAAGACACAGCCATCCAGTGGACCCTTCTGCTCGTGGATTTTGAATTAAAATCATGAGCACTTGGGCTCAGCTTGTGACTTTTGGAGTTCTGGTGCTGATTTGGACTTTGATGCATTTAGTCGGATGCACTGCTGTTAGAAATATGATTTGTGTTTAACTTTTGAAGCACAAATGTAGCTCATTTTGTCTTTGACTGCAGCATGCCGGCCTTGTAAATAAATTACCTCAGAATATGTTGATTGTAGAAGACTTGCCTGGATGTAAATATTATGTCTGGAATGTTTTGTTACAGCTATTTCACTGGCTGCAAAATTGTAGATATTGGAGATATGTATTTTTTACTGTTCAAGCAACATAAAAATACTCCACAAAGGTTAAATGGGCTACACACAAAAATGTAACAAAGCATGCTTGATGCACTTCAATTGCCAAAGTCATGAATTTGTTGTATTTTTATATAAAAATTAAACTAAATTTGAGTGACACCTAAGACTCTCTTTTTTAAAAACAAGCTTACAATTGCACTGATATCCAAAGTCAGGAATTTGTTGTATTGTTTTTATATACAAATGTTACAAAATCTGAGTGACACCAAACAGCTTCTTTTTAAACAAGCACACAGTCGCACTTTTATCTGATGTGAAAACAACTGAGAGATGGAAACCAAACAAGTAAACCAGTGGGTGGCAGTGTTGCTGAGATAACGCGTTTGACCTTCTTGGGACCATTTTCTCAAACATAGGGCATCTCTGAGCGCATTTAATCTGACACACTCAACAACCAGTTGCTGCAAAAATAAAAACATATCTTCTCATTCAGTTAGTTGCATTTTAGTTCACAACATAGAAAATGTTTGGCAAGGACTACTGCAGTAAATTTCCTTTTAATTGCGAAGGTTTAGTTTGTAGTTTTAAAGTACTTGAATTAAAAAAGAGGGTCCAGGAATTTTGCAATAAAGCGTAATTTGTATAAAATGGCATTAATCGTGTTTGTTTTGTAGTTTTAAATCGTCCTTTATTTATTATGGACTGCGGTACCCATAATGCATTGGACTGTATGCGGCAAACTGTTGGGAAATGTAGTTTAATGTGCTCTTAAATCAGTCATTTAAATTTCACAGATTTAGAGGAGTTGGGTAAATTAAAATTAAATTAATAATTTCTAGTCTTTGAAGTTATAATAGATAAAGTTTGTTACTAACACCGGGTTTACTTTGGACAACTACGCGATTGACCAATCACGAAGGACTACAAGGACCACAATGCACCTGGCCGCATTTGCTCCTGCGGTCACATCCGCTCGAGCAATCTGTGTTGGAAAAAGGACTTTGTGAAACTGCAGCGATGTCAGTCCAGGTTGTGGCAGCGAAAATGGCAGAGGTCGATCTCAAAGACGTCCCCAGCAGCAAAGACCTGCCCGCGGGATCCCCGGTGTCCCCCGCGGCAGAGGGAAAAAACATCGCCAAAAACGAGGCCAGTTCCTCCGCCGCAGCCTCCCCAACAGCGGAGTCCTCCTCTGCGAAAGCCGGGGAAGGAGCGCTCAACCCGAACCCCGGGAAGATGCCTCAAGCCTCGGCTATGAAGCGCACGGATCCGCAGCAAAACGGCGGGGAGGCGTTTGTCAACCGGGACGGGACAGTGGCCGAAGCTCCGCGGATGAAAAAGGTAAGAGAAATGCGCTTTATGGTGGAGGTAAATGGGCCGTGAGCAACAACCCCCTCGCCGCATTGAAATCTTTCCAAAGCGGTGTGTCTGTGCTAACATGCTAGCTGCTCTTAAAACCACTTAGACGGCTCAGAATAACTAGATAATGCAGATTGTCATTGTTAAAACCATTGTTGGATTAAAGCTACAGATTGCTATGCTCTTTTCACAAGTGTATCCTTTTAAATTGTCAGCTGACACGATTCCAATCTAGAGAAAAATGAATAAAATTGGCACGCAAGTTAAGACCACATGCTTGCACAGACGTTTACTCAAGTAAATGTGAAATTATTTAAATTATGCTTGTTGATTTGTTTTGTTTTGTTTTTTGTCTTCAAGACTACCAACATCACATGATATATATATTTTTTTGTCTGTGTTAGAATCAGCAGTTTATAGAAAGTCTAGCCTAAGGACACGTGGATCCGCCTGCATGCTCTGATTTAAGATTCTGTTGTCCAAACATTAAATTATAGCACGTTTTATTTTGGTCAAAACAAACATTTCCTAATCCCGTGTTTAGAGGGGCCAGTGATTGTATTTACAGGTCAAATAGACTATATATGGGTCTAACTGAAGTAATGGCACAATTATAGCTAACTTATAATAGTTGAAACCACTTACTGCTGGTACTATGCTGTAATAAATATGGCCAAAGTACAATCAGTGCCAGCGGTTAGAATTCAGTTGCAAGTCTATGGTATGTCTTCTATATATATTTATCATTTGTGTTGTAAGATTACTTTGGTAACATCAGCAAGTTCCTTTGTGAAACCAATTTTAGATGCTTGTGGCTGGCTACCAAAATAGATCTGCATTATGGTGCAATACATATTTGGGCATGTACATATATCATATATCTTCCGTTTTATGTTGCATCTGATGTTGTTCTCAATTTATGCTTCTAACTTCGCTGGGATCCAGTATACACACTTCAGTTGTTTAAGAAGATGTATGTCTGGTCACTGGTGAATCTCCCTGTTTTCAAATGGGTGTGATTGACAGGACGGTTAGCCAATCAGGGACACGCATTGTCCGCTGTATCAAAAAAATAAGGGAAAAACAAATCACAGGGAACTGAAAAGCAGCAGATTTCTCCCGAGTAAACTCTGAAGGGTGATAAATTTGATTTCATTTGTAAATGAAAAAAGACAAATCTGATTGCTCGATGACGTCTGACCGGGCTTGAGGTGTGACAGAGGGAGTGGGGACCAGACTGATATAAACATGTATAAAAAATACAGAGATATTATTCTGGATTTGCCTGGCAACTTTTAACTATTGCTGTACTGCAAATATTAGCCTGTAATTTGGCACAAAGATTAGTTTGACTTGGGACTGGACAGTTAATCATCTTAATTAGATTAATTAGTGTTTTTAATCATTTTGATTTTGAAAATTTTCAAAATCATGAAATCAACAATTATTACGAAACAAATTTTCTTCTGACGTCTACTTGCAAAGCAGGGATATTGTGCAGTTACTGTTAGTTTGTACAAATTTCTATAATAATAATAATCGAATATGATGAGAATGAAAATGTAAAGCACTTGCCATGTTTGAAAGATGAACAGTCCCTGCTCTGACTTCAGTTAAAACCGGTTAAAACTGTAGTCGTCCAGGGTGTGCAAAAAACATTTTTATTTTATTTTCTTGCCATATCCACCCAGCCCTAGGTTGACTCATGTGATATCCAATTCATCCATTGCAGTAGTGAGCAATCTACAATGACCCTGTGCTTCTACAGTCACTCTAGTTTTTACAGTCCATTTTTAGCCTGTAGACGAGAGCTTTGAATACTGATGCTAGATGAGATTTTGTAGCCCATGACTTAGTATAAAATTATATGGCACGCAAACGGATTGGGGCAAGCTTAACCTGAGCTAGATGTGGTTTATCCATTATTATCTGGAGTTTTGATTGTCTCTTAAATTTATATAAAGGCCAACGTTCAATGATTGATAAGGGGCGCTTCGAGGAACTGGCTTCCTTTATTCTAGTGCCAGAGATAATGTAAAATGGTGCCAAGAATGACTAATAGCTTTTGGTGGAGTTATCAGATTGTTAAATTGATTTTTGATATGCACTCTTGAGACTTTGACTTTTTCAGTATTACATGATGCTGTGATTCAGATTGAGATATGAAAATACAAAGTAAATTACAAGTACAACAGAGGGATTTGGAAAAGATGATAATATCTAGGGCTGAAACTGTCAATTGTTAATTCTCGTGTACTTAAATAAATAAACAAATAAATGCAATGACATTAATAATGAAAGAAAAAACACAAATTAATTAAAAATAACTTTGAAATAGTTGAAAATGCATTCTGTCTGCCCACAAATAGTAATCCAAACAGTGCATTTCCTGATCAGACACTTTTATCCTCATGGGGCAGAAGGTCGGCCTATTTATAGCCCTCCAGGAGTTGTGGCTCTTATAGCACGCTATAGGACAGAGCCTCACACATCTGCTGAACCCATCCTCTGTGCAGGACGATGCAACAGAGACCGGGACCACAGCTCTTTAATCCTTGTCTTTATCATGTAGCCACACGAGCGGATTAAACGGCAGCTTTGTGTTGTGGTAGGTGGGCCCGAATGGAAGAAAGAGAGAGTGAATGAGTGAGTGAGTGAGAGAGATGGAGGGAGGGAGAGTTTGATTGTGACCAGTGCAGCTTAGTGAGAATAATGGAGGAATGACATTTAAAGTTGGGCAGGGATGGCTCGGTATGTCCGGCGTTGCCAATTTGTCACCTTGGCATAGATTAAGGACCTGTTTACATGAGAATTCTTGTGGGTGAAAATGACAAAATATTTTAACGGAAGTGCCTTTCGTTTAGACGGTGACGGCATTTTTGGGGCTTAAAAACACAAAAATCTGCAACTACACTCTAGAGTGGAAAAGTTGAATATGCTCCGCCATAGCGTTTCCGTTTACACTGCCCAAGACGCAAAACTCTGGTCAGATCTTCTCACGTCACGTACGTGTTTACGTCACATACATCACCACCTAGCTTTATCACCAAGCCGCCTGACATGCATACTCAATCAAATTCCACACACTTTTGCATCCCCGTATACGCGCAGATTTCCTCCCCTAAAATGCTCGTCTAAACACGGAATAAAAAATGAAGATGTCATGCCACTTTTGCGTCTTCTGTTCAGATCGTCATCATATAAACATAGCCTAAGTGAGTGTGACGTCACCGATAGCTTTCAGCTCCAGCCAAATGAAGCTCACAAGGCTAGCAGTGATCGAATTCGAAGCCAATGGACAAAATAGCAAAATAAAAACAACAGGATCATGTAGATCAGGTTGATACGAACATTTTAAGATCAAAATGATAAGGCTCACTGCAGCAGTTACAGAGAGAGCGGCGACAATTTTTCAACGTAAAGTCAATTGAAGTCAGAGTTGATGGAGCCAGAAGCGCACCCATGCTCACTTCCTATCTGGAATGTGACATCTGACGGTTTAGCTATGCCCATATATATACTGTCCATGCTTCTTGGAGATGGATAAGTTCAATTTCAAACTGTGGAATATTCCAGGGCCAGGAAAAGCAATAACGTTACACAGTGCACCTTTTAAAGCTGTCCGTACATTTACCAGTAAATGGTAGATGTGAAACCTGTTTTCCATCCCCTTGCCTTTGTTCAGACCTGTGCTCTCTGCTTTTCTTCTGTCAGACCAAAGCTGCACAGTATCAGACAGCAGCAAAGCAGAGAGCATCTCATGGTGTTGTGATGTGAGAATACAACAGAGGCAGGTCAGCCAATCTAATTACAAATAGTAGCGATAACTTGAGTCCACAATATTAGGTTAGATGTAGGAATACAGAAGAAAATATAAGTTGATGTTTTAAAGTATATGATCTGCCATAATTGCATTAAATAAGTCTAACACATATTAATGGGTTTCAGGCAAATGATTCATTCCTGATTTGAAGGATTGTGTGTGGACCTTTCTCCATTCAAAAGATATAATATTTTGATTTGCATTATTGCTCAAACAGTGGAGCCGTGCCGAATCTAAAAATTACCATTATTTGACTCGTTTTGTGTAGAAAAAAAAATATTGTGTCAGTTGTTTGGTTTTGACACATAGATGGAAAATAAACACTTAATTATTCAAGGGATTATATAAATGCATTTAGCAGTGTGTGTTTTGATTAAATGTCCTATATTACGCAAAACTGACACCTGTGAGCTGTAAGCCATGTTATAATACTGTTATATTCTCAAAAACATACATGGAGTTGTGTTTTGTTTCAATCACACATGTCTAAGTAATTCTTGGTTATTAGTCTGTCTATATCTCCAAAGCCTAAAAAGCTCTGTTTCACCTTGTGATGTCATGAATTTGTTGTTTTCAAGTTAACGGCTTCCTTTGACCTTTGAGAGAAGAACTCAGCCTAAATATGCAGTAATTGTGTTAAATAGGGGTGTGCAAAATCATTTAATGTGATGATACAGTATCGATTTCATCGGCTGCTCTATCGATATATCGGCAAGAGTATTTTTGGTATATTTTACTAAATTATTTTGTTACAGCTCTACAGTTTTGTTGCATAAACAAGTTTTCTTCCTCTGAACAAGCAACACATTTGACATATTCAGTTTTGATGATTAAAATGTTTGTGTTTTATATGAACTTTGCCCAAGAAGTAGTTTCACAAAGACTTTTAGTATCAGCCGTGATTTAGCCATTATTTTTTATTGAACCGTATCAAATTGATTTGAAATATATCATATCAAATCGAAAGTGTACTGTAGCGAGATATGTATCGTATCGTGGCCTGTGTATCGAGGTATGTAATGTATCAGCAACTTCTTAATGATACCCAGTAGGGATGGGCATTCGATGAAATTTTCTTAATCGATCGTCGGAAGAATTAACGATCGATTATCGATTAATCATTAACGTTTTTATATTAAAATGATCATTATTATTACTA